TCTTATTCTAGCCACTTGTTTGCAGGTAACTAATATTTTTGTATATCATATTGGTATTTTTGCATTAATGCCCAGGAGCTCAAGTATAGGAGGCAGTTAGGTTCAGGGTCTGAGGTCTGGTAGGGTTAATATTTAAAAAAAAAAATAGTTATGATAAAAACAGATACAGACAAAACAATAATCATATCTTCTAACAAGCTATGAGAAAATGAGGTCCTGAGAATAGTAAGACTACTCAAACTGAGGGGGTTCATATTGCTAGAGACAGAAAATAAAGGCAGAAAATGCTGAAGGGATTGGCAATTACCGGCTGAACTTTGCCAGGGGAGAACACAAAACAGATGGTGGTGTAGAAACACAATCACCTACATTATCTAACATGGCACATAGTGATGATGAATTTGTATAGCAACCAACATGAACATTTATACAAGCCTTGGCTATGAGGAACATCAAGAATATTTTCAACCCCTCTTGTCTATCTCCATGCTGTTTTGTATTCCTATTTCTGTGCATGTTCAACCCCTCTTGTCTATCTCCATGCTGTTTTGTATTCCTATTTCTGTGCATGTTCAACCCCTCTTGTCTATCTCCATGCTGTTTTGTATTCCTATTTCTGTGCATGTTCAACCCCTCTTGTCTATCTCCATGCTGTTTTGTATTCCTATTTCTGTGCATGTTCAACCCCTCTTGTCTATCTCCATGCTGTTTTGTATTCCTATTTCTGTGCATGTTCAACCCCTCTTGTCTATCTCCATGCTGTTTTGTATTCCTATTTCTGTGCATGTTCAACCCCTCTTGTCTATCTCCATGCTGTTTTGTATTCCTATTTCTGTGCATGTTCAACCCCTCTTGTCTATCTCCATGCTGTTTTGTATTCCTATTTCTGTGCCATCTTCACAATGAAGGTTGGCTACAGTGTACCACTGTTGTTTTTAAGTGTCCAGTCTCTTCCATGCTGTGACTCTTATATCATTGTACAAAAAGCATGACACATTTTTGTTCAACCATCAACCACAGGGAACGTGCGCTAGTCCTCGAAGATCATGAAATTGTTAACCACATTTGCTAACTTTTGAGCCATGGAGCCACACTATTCTTATACTATTGAACTGTACTTCATTCATGCACATCTCAGACTATACACAAATAGTGGCAGGTTGAGATTAGAAGACCTCTGTGGTGAAGTGATTACACTTTTTATCACACAAAGGTTGGTGGCTCAGCTTCGGCTCACTGCTCAAGCTATATAATATTGTGCTTTGTGCAACAATGTGTTTGGATAATCCTTATAGTTGCTCTGTGAAAAGACTCAAAGCCATGAAATATAAAACCTGGAGCAAAAAAAAAGCAAGCTGATCCTCTCACCTATAAACATCTTTTGGATTCATAATAAGTTCTCTTTCTGAATTAGCAGTACAAGTGGTTAATAAGTTGATACTGATCTTGAGTCTGAAAAAAGATTGAGTTTTTCCTTGTTAATTAGTTAATTGACTGATAATCCTCATCTTCATTATCTCACTCAGGGTTTGGCCACTGATAACAGCAGCTATGTCTTGGTGCACTATTCTTCTTTGGCTGCATGTAGAGGTTTAATATCTGGCAACACCTCTTTTCACTTAGTTGTTTTCAGTAACTCATTAACTCTTTTCAGATATATTTGCTGATAAATCGGTGCAAACATCAGCCACGTTTTGCCATATTGCCGATTTATTGGCTCTCGATAGAGACACTCTAATATAGTTTCGTGTGGTAGGAAAATGAATTTGTATGAACATGTTTTGAAAAACTAGAATTAACAAAAGGAAGTATTATAATTTTCCTAGCATGGCAAAGTAATAGGTTTAACTGTTGATTTGTTTTTACTAAAATCAGTGTGATACAATATTTTGTGTGATTTTCCAGACCAAATGATAGAGAAAAAGGTTTAGAACTGTCAATACTGTCATTACCATTAATGAATCTGACATTATGATTAATAATGCAAATGCAAAACCTAATGCCAATAGTATGGGTTAGGATGAAGTTGAATAATATATTTCAATTCGATCATTGTGTTTACTTTAGCTGTGTCTGGAATTCATTTGTTGTGTAATCTGACATGACACACAAAAATGGTCAAAAAATCGAAAGCATTTAGATTAACTGTTTCAGACAAAGACTAGCTGATGCATAACTGAATAAAAAAGGCATGTGAATTCTTAGAAATGGATAGCAATGTTGGTAATGTTGTTGATGAAATAAAAATATAAGGTAAGCACAACATTTCATGTGTAACAAATCTTCATTAGTGTTTAAATTCCTTGAATGTTGTGTCATTTTATATTCTGTTGTTGTAATACTAATCCTTAAATAGTTTACATGTATTAGGCAAGTACAAAACAACCAATCTGAAATATGGACAATAAACACTGAAATAAATATTCTAAGATAACAGGTAAAGGGTAAGCACAAACACAGAGGTAAGCTGATAATCAACATAATTAAAATGTTTTGTTTTCTTGTCATCTCAGCTAAAGAACAATATTTTTGATTTAGGATTTTAGATTACATGTTCTACATGTCTCTTTTATGGATACATCCTAAATTGTATGAGGTATATGGGTTATGCGGCAGTGAACATATATCTGTAATAAAAATATATGACTTTTAAAATTCACTACATTAAGGGTAAGAAATCTGGGAGACATGGTGGCATGGTATGCTTGCCTGCCCAGACAGTGGTCTGGCCTGAATCCCCATCAGAAGTAGGAATATTCTTTCTGGCGCACACAGCATATGGGTTTACTATTTTTTTCTAGCAATAGACTGAATTATGAAGACAGCAACCACCATCACCAGGAATGAATTCAGACAAATTAATTTTTACTGCCAAAAGTCTAGTGAAGAAGAGAATCTATTTCTGAATCTGACTCCCACTTCACTAAAATAACACATATTAATACTGACAAGGAAGAGATTAAAAACGTCACAGATTTGGAATATTTAGGTTCAGTAATGGACAACAACAATGACTGCACAAAATTAGTCAGAAAAAGACTTGCTTTAAAAATACAGAGGCTAAATAGCATGAGAGAAGAGCCTATGGCATAGCACCTGCAGGCTAAATAGCATGAGAGAAGAGCATATGGCATAGCACCTGCAGGCTAAATAGCATGAGAGAAGAGCCGATGGCATAGCACCTGCAGGCTAAATAGCATGAGAGAAGAACCGATGGCATAGCACCTGCAAGAATGTTAAAGTAAAAATATTGAGATCATGCATCTTTCCCATGATAACTTATGGATGCGTGTTATGAACTCTCACTCAGTCTTTGAAGAAGAAAAATTTCAGCTTATGAACTGAGATGCAACATAAAGATTCTTAGAATTCTGTGAACAAGGAAGAAGAAAAAAGTTGACATCTTGCATGACCTGAACATCAAGGAGAACTGGCTAGTGAACAGCATCCTCTCCCAAAAGCTGAGGTATTTGTCTGGTCATGTCAAATGCCATGGTGGCCTGGAGAGAACAGCAATGGAGGGGACAGTTTCTGAAAACAAGGCAGAGGCTGACCTCCGCGAAGGTGGAAACAGGACACTGAAGTTGTATTGGCTATGAAAGCACACAGAGCTGAAGAACTGGCTGGATAAAGACTTTCAGGCATGCAATGAAGAGAGTGACATTCTCTAAAAGACTGATTGACTGATCAATGTCAAACAATTTAGAAAACAATAGCAAACCATCATCATCATGTAGGAGGTCCTTTGCAGAACGTCGCTCCCATCACAGTCTGCCTGAAAGAAACTCGGTCTCTCACTAGTTTTACCACCTCATGTACTTTCATACTCAAGGAGTCACTTATATCCTGTGCCCATCTTTGTGTCGGTTGGCCCCTGCCCCTCCTTCCTGGTACCATGCCTTCTGCTATAATTTTGTCCAATCCGTCCTGGCGCTTGATATGACCAAAATATTTCAGCTTCCGAGACAGGATGCTGTTTATTAGCCAATCTTCCTTGATGTTCAGATCTTTGAAGATGTCAGTATTTCTCCTCTTCTTTGTCCAAGATAATAGCAAACCAGTGAATGTAATATTGTAGAGTAAGTTAATAAATGATGGGGTTGATTTGCATTATTTTGAAGAGGACATACAGCTGGCTTTTTACAATTTTTTAATTTAATTATACTTTTAGAGTTTGGATTATGCAATGCTTCTTCTTCTTCTTTTTCAGCATTCCAAGCTGTTGAGGTCATTGCTGCAGATATCACCCATCTCCATTCACCTCTATGGTTGGCCTTCACTTTCCAGTTGGTGACACTAAGTGTTTGTGGGTCTGTCTCAATATTATATCTTCATCATCATCTTGGTTTGCCTCATGGTCTGCGACATTAAACTCCCTTGTGTATACAATTTTTACCTCTCTGTCATCTGCCCCAGCCATTTAATTCTATTAGCCCTCATGATGCCAATGATCAATGATTATTTTAACAGATTATGAATTTCATTGCTGCTTCTCAGTCTCCATTTCCCGTCCTTTGCAAAGATTCATCATAAGACTGTTTTCAAAAATTTGTAATAAGGCTCCATCTCTTTTAGTTTTGCTCCAAGTTTCAGAGCCATATAAAACAACTGGTCTTATCAATGTTTTATATATTTTGATCTTAGTGTGGTGAGACAGACACTTTGACTTTAGTAGGTGTTGAAGGGCACAGTTTATTTCTAGATTGTATTCTAGATTGTATTTCTTCTCTTAGCATGTTGGAGCAGTTGAAGTCTGCACCCAAGTACTTATGGATTATGCAATGTCGCACAGACACATATTTCTAGAGTTTTTTTGTTTGCAGTTGAACATTAATATGCATGTTTCTCATAAAGCTTTACATAATTATAATCAATATCCCATTTCTTACTTCCTTTACTTCAAGCACATGAGTAAAACAATCTTCTTTAAATCTTCAAATACTTATGCATGTTATATGGTAAGTATTTACAATGTATGTAAGAAGGGTAAACATAGACAACTATAGAAAACCAGCCCTCCTGCAAGAATGACAGCACTGACTCGTGTACACCTTAAAGCCACAAAGTCTGCCTGCAACAATCAGGTGACACTTTGTTCGTCCCATAGTATCCTCACATTTTGTTATTGGACCTGAAATAACATCAGGAATAAATACATTGATTTGGCTAGGCGTACATTTTTTTCATTTGATGAAAGAATGACTTCAGCAAAGAAGCACAAATTTCCCCCTCATTTATCTCTAGGTAGTTGAACTTTTCACCAAAATATCCTGTTAAACTCTCATGCTTATAATTAGATATCAAAAATTTTCATTAAGCTCTCAGAGAATATATTTGTTATTGTGTGTGTGTGTGTGTGTGTGCGTGCATGTGTGCATGCTTGTGTGTATATATAATGTAACTATTTATTTAGGACAATTATGAAATTTGTACTACTGCTTCAAATATTACTTTGGTAGAAGAGCTTGTGTGTTGCAATCATCAAAATTGAACAAGACAAAGAATAAGTACCAGACAAAGAAAGAAATAAGCCTGCTTCTGCGCAGGAAGACTGTGAAAATCAAAGAATACGGAAAGCAAACCTGAAAAAAAAGTAACGCTTGCCAAAATTACAAGATGGTTAACAACTGATCAATCGATCCATCAGTTTGTCCCTTCTGGGCTGCTACATAAATGTTGACTATACCACTGTAAGATTAGAAGATCTCAGTCTGGATGGCAAACCAACAAGGCACATCCCAGATTCAACTTCCAAAGAGGCTATAATTAGGGAAGCCGAGATGTTTACACCACTCCCCCAAAAGGTATCTCCATCTTGCCGTGGTGGAGGAGCTTGTGTTTCTCAACGATCCTGAGACCTATGTCAGCGGTAGCATAGCTACCAGCAGGGCCTCCCAAGCTGGAAAGATCAAAGGGTAGAGAACAGACAAAGAGAGACACCCTGGTCCTCTAGGTTAGGGGGTGTTGAAGCATGGGGCCGACACACCCACCTTTTTAAAAAGGCAAGCATCATTTCAGAGGTCCCGGATAATTAGCATCATTTGGATATTTTCTCTAGGTCATGCCGTTGTGCTGGGAAATGAGCAGGCAGATAGACTGGCTGGTTCTGCACTACTTGGTGGGGAATTGATGTATACCAAGCTAGATGAGGGCCTCTTGGGAACAAGTAAACAGTGCGGATGCGCAGATAGATCCTTATGGTCTGAGGAGAATGGTGCTGCGAGGAGTTACCAGGGAATGTGACCAATGCTCAACACTCAGGGGAAGGATAAGATGGATATACAATCAGACAGTTACTGGTGCCATCAGAATTTGAACTCTTCACTTGCTGCTGAAGATGGGGGATGGAGCACTTATGGGAGTGTCCCGAGTGCTGTGATGTCGATTCTTAATTCAACATTCAATCCACACTCTTCTAGCTCAGGTATTGGCAGTACCTTCTGAAAATATGTTCTCCTATGCCATAATGTCAAACTGTCCATAATTTCCTCTCCTGGTCTCTCTCTGCTTCTCTTCCCATCTAACTTTGCTACTGTCACAAGGTACTCCAGTTTCCCTTTCTCATAATGTCCTAAAACAATGTACATTATTTTCTTATGATGCAGGTAATAAGTCCTCTTTATGAGATCTTCTTCGTCTTTATGTCCTCTTTTACTGCTTCGGGTGTCAAGGGAGATATAAGGTCCTGTTTTGTGCTCATCTGGCTGCTTTGACCATAGACACATCATGGTGCTGCAGAGTTTTTCTGATGTTATCTTCTCATCTTGTTCTTGATCTACCCCTTGCTCTACATCCCTCTTCTTTTTTGGTATATGCCTTGTATGGTATATCATCAGACGGCATGCCCTCTAAGTGAGTAAACCATTTGATTTACTGTCTTTGTATGTAATTTAGAATTTGTTCTGTGTCGACTTTAACTTGTATGACCTCATTCTTAATTTGATCGTTTCTGGTCACTCCTACAGTCTTTCTCAAACACCTCATTTCCATGGTTACTAATGTTCTTTTATGTTTTGTTGTGAATGACCACGTTTGGCCTGGGAATTAATATGCTCTCTTTGATGTCTCTTTGTGCTGACTGGGATTGCCTTATGCTGTAAAAAGGGAGCTAACTATCCCAGTACTTGAACTACTTTACTGCATTGGATGTCAATTTCTTCTTCTAATTTACCATCCAGTAAATGTTGTTCTAAGATATTTAAACTCAGATGCCTGTTTAATGTATGTAGGCTTTCATGCTATATTTAAATTCTGCTTCTTTCTTCCTATTGAGATGACGTCTGTCTTTTCGACTTTGATTCTCATATTATTTTGATTTAAATTCTTCATTCATGGGTGTAAGATGCGTTGCAAATTCATGGCTGCATTTACAACCAAGGCCTGGTCATCAGCAAAGAGTAATTCATTAATGTCTTTATCTCTTATATAGTATCAAGACATATCTTATATATATCATGGTATACTTACTGTGAAATTTGATCTGCACTGCTGTAACATCTTCCGCCCTGTCTCTGTCATTGGATGCAATGCATTTGTACATCCCTGCATCCTCAATGGTTGCTGCACTTACTGTAAGATCACCATTGTGGACTGAAATTTTCCCACCAGATGTCAACACATGACCCTCTTTCACCCATTGTAACTTTGGTGTCGGGTACCCTCTACCTTTGCACTGCAGTTTTATTGTTTCACCTTCTGTGAAAATACCTTGATGACGCTGAATGTCAGCATCAATAGTTTCTGTAAAATCACAAGATTAAAAGAAATATTGACAATAATATCTAAATACATTCAAAAGTTGCATACATTACTGTATTACTTTTCCACACAGTCACTATGTAAATTCAAGCACTTGTCATAGCATAGCATGAGTTTTTGTAATCCCTCATTGAGGAACAGTGTCACCATGGTACTTAGCGCAGTTGTTTCTCAACAACAAAATTCATAATTCTGTTTATATCACCATTGATAACTGGCATCATGAGAGCTAATAGACAAATACACACAAACAGACAGACACACACACACAGACAAACATGCAGCCAAGCCACACCACACATATCCACATACAATCACACACACAGACACACACACAGCCACACATACAGATAGACATTAAAAAAAAAACACACACAGACACACAACACAGACTGACATGCACACTGACACGCAGACAAACACACACAGACACGCTTACAGACACACACACATATGCACATAAAAACATGCATATGGACGAACCAACACAGAGACACAAAAACAGGCACGCTTAAAGGCACACCTACAGACAAGCACCCAGACACCATACACACAGACACACTCACTGACACACACCTACACACAGATACGTACACACAAACGTATACAGTTACCCATGCATACACAGAATCATACATACACAAATACGCCTGCATGTCACACATATCCGCATACAAACATATCACACACACTGCAATTAATTATAACTAGTAATGCATTGTGGATTGTTAACTACATTTAAGGTGGCATGTAATCACTGATAAGGATGAAATGAAAAAGTTTGCGGTTAAATGAGTAGGGACTTTTTGTAGTTTTCAGATCGAGTGGAAGATGGTTCCATAAATGAGCAGCATAATATGCTAGACTTGTTTTAAATGAATCAATTCTGGGTTTAGGCAAATGTAATAAACCTAGTCGCTTGCTATTCTTGGGATTAGATAGAATAAATCGGTCGATGTAATTTGGAGTATCTTTAGATAGGATTTTGTGAATAAATTTGGCCTTATTAAAAATTAAACGTTTACTAAATGGGAAGGCAGGTGATTTCTGCAGCAATGAACCTCAGGGGCTATGAATGCTGAAGAAGAAAAAGAAGAAGAAGAACTAACACTCAGTAGGTGATGCGGTCTACACCAAGCTACTACCTTTACTTCCTAGGGCATTACATGGTACCCATTTTAGGCTAAAGCAACCTGGGAGCCAAAGTTAATTGTAGAAAAAAATTGGACTTGACGAGAGTCTAACCCAAGACCATGAACCAAAGGTGAGCACCCAGCTATAGCGGCTTCTGAACATAAAATACAGAAGTTAATACAAAATTAGTCAAACTTTCTCAAAGTAATAATAATAATAACATAAATGGTCAATGGGTCTAACCTTTAATGCTCAGGGTTATGGTTTTCCTTGTTGCAGCAATGCTATTTTGTGCTGAGCACTCATATTCACCAGCATCTTCTATTAGCGCATTATGTATAATCAGTGTTCCATTTCTGAAGACAGTATAGTGGTTACTGGTTTGCAGCAAACGCCCACCTCTGCTCCAAGATACTACTGGCTCAGGGCTGCCCACCGCCTGGCAATGAACAACTGCAGTGTTTCCTGGCTTGGCACTGATCAGGGCTGGTCCTGGGAGAAGTCTAGGTGGAACTGTAAACAATGTTGAAACACATGTATAATACACAAATAAACAGCAACCCAGACATTTTAAAAAAGGCAAGGGCTCACAGACAACTTATCACAAACATAAGAAAGGGAACAGTCATCTATTTCTTGGTCATATTACGAGAAGAAAGAAAGTGGATTATACTGTGACCAATGGGAAAATATGTGGGGAAAAAAGGCAGAGAAGATAATTTGAGAAGATTTTTGACAGCTTTATAACACAAACTGAAAGGGTGTCAGCACACGAATCGATACATGCTGTTGAAGGAATGATTGTCCATGCTTGATGATGATAATAGTACAAATGTTGATTTTAATTCTTTATGTACCTGCAAGTTACCCCCCATCTCCGCTATTGCCGGTGCCAATTTCAGATGAGAAAGGAGGAATGTTGGTGGTTCTCAGTCTATGCGGGCCTAGTATCCCCCAAACAACATTCTATTTTCATTGCTACTTAATAACTTCAGTGAATATGTTTTTTCCGATCTATAAATCAGTGGTTCTTAGTCTTTCTCATGCCACAACTATCTAGTACAGTTCCTTGTGTTGAGGTGACCCCAAACAACATTCTATTTTCATTGCTACTTAATAACTTCAGTGAATATGTTTTTTCCGATGATCTTTTGCGACCCCTGTTCATAGGTTCCTACCTAGAAGCCCAATGAACGCATGATGTGCCGATTTTATTACTTTCTTTACTACCCCCTGGGCCTGAGATGCTAAACCCCCTGGGACTCAAAGAGTTAAGGACTGGGAGATTGTCCACGACTCACATCCATATATTGCTACAAGGAAGATTCCTGTTCTTAAAACTGTAATTCTGATATCTAAACAATATGAAGAATTCAAATAAGGGAAATGCTGGTGATATGAATGACACTTTTTCAGATCAATATCCTACAGTTTTTTGCATTCTAGGGCAACAATGTTTTTTAATGTTTTATGGAATTTAAAAAATGCAGCTTGTGACAGAGGTAGCTAACAATTTAAATATAATGAACCAACATAACAAAAGAATAGACAGGCAAGACTGCAGAAATGCATACTATAGAAAATATATTCAATGAATGTAAGTTATCAGGTGGGTAAAGAGTTAAAGTCACACATACCATAAACTTCAACCTTGAACTTCTCCACATGATGTACATTGTATCCAGTGGATATTCTGCATGTGTAGATTCCTGTCATGTCTTCAGTAACACGCCAAAGAATCAGAGTTCCATTGTTATATACTTGGTGCACAGGACTTGATGTCAGCAAGAAGCTACAAATATAAAATATATGTTACATATGTCTTCTCGGTTAAGTTAAACAGTTATCTGTATATCATTTTTAGAACTTAAAAATTCAACCCTAGCATTTATTGGCTCTTCATGGTTTTACTAGAGAATATTAAATTCAATAATTTGCCATTGCTTTCTGAATGGTTAGATGTTCATACCTTTGTTGAAATCAACACTATGCTGGACCACAGCTGAAATTAGTTGATACCTTTCCATCTTTCCAGATGGCATCATTGTATTATAGAAAGGCAAGGAAATCACAGCCCCTGGAAATGGTGAGTGTGACTAGCGAGTTCCTCTCAATTTCAAGAAGTCTTCCACAATGAGATCAGGGATTTCAGGACCACTGTTGCCATAATTTTGTTTCATGGTGGACTGGTTGTAACAGCTTGCAGTTAGTATTGTATTCTTGTTTCAAGCACTCATTGAAGCCTCTGCCAACTGCCATTTGCCTTTACTATGTGGATTGTTCCAAGGCTAATTGTTTGTTCTCGAGTTTTTCAAATGCACTAGTGAGGGACATTTAATTTGATTTGCACTGGCACTGGAACCGAGCAAGTATGGGGAAACCCGATTGCAGTGAAGTTGAAACCTCTACTAAGATAAGACAAAGACTCACTGGAGCACACTGGCATTGGTGGATCAGTTCATTACTGGTGGGGACTGCACAGTCTGAGGTGGGCAGTAGTTGATCAGTGATATTGAAAAATGTCTCCCACCCTCAGAGGCAGCCTATGGTGCCCTCATCTACTCTAGTTGACAAGGATTTTAGCTGCTGCCTGTCAGTTTATCCGAAAAACAATTAATACAATTAGGGCCAAGGGTGAGTTTCCTCTTCCTCATAGCTGAAAGCCTGGGCAGTATTGTAAAAACCCTGGGCTATCCATGCAGCATAATCCCTCTCTTAAACTGTTTGACTTACTCCATGCAGCATGATCCCCCTCTCAAACTGCTTGACTTACTCCATGCAGCATGATCCCCCTCTCAAACTGCTTGACTTACTCCATGCAGCATGATTTCCCTCTTAAACTGTTTGGCTTACTCCATGCAGCATGATCCCCCTCTAAAACTGCTTAGCTACTCCATGCAGCATAATCCCTCTCTAAAACTGCTTAGCTACTCCATGCAGCATGATCCCCCTCTCAAACTGTTTGGCTTACTCCATGCAGCATGATCTCCCTCTAAAACTGTTTGGCTTACTCCATGCAGCATGATCCCCCTCTCACACTGCTTAGCAAACTGTTTGGCTTTCTCCATGATCAGCAAAACTGTTTGCTTACTCCATGCAGCATGATATCCCTCTAAAACTGCTTAGCTACTCCATGCAGCATGATCTCCCTCTCAAACTGTTTGGCTTACTCCATGCAGCATGATATCCCTCTAAAACTGCTTAGCTACTCCATGCAGCATGATCCCCCTCTCAAACTGCTTGGCTTACTCCATGCAGCATGATCTCCCTCTCAAACTGCTTAGCTACTCCATGCAGCATGATTTCCCTCTAAAATTGCTTAGCTACTCCATGCAGCATGATCTCCCTCTCAAACTGTTTGGCTTACTCCATGCAGCATGATCTCCCTCTCAAACTGTTTGGCTTACTCCATGCAGCATGATATCCCTCTCAAACTGTTTGGCTTACTCCATGCAGCATGATATCCCTCTAAAACTGCTTAGCTACTCCATGCAGCATGATCTCCCTCTCAAACTACTTGGCTTACTCTGTGCAGCATGATCTCCCTCTCAAACTACTTGGCTTACTCCATGCAGCATGATCTCCCTCTCAAACTACTTGGCTTACTCCATGCAGCATGATCTCCCCTCTCAAACTGCTTGGCTTACTCCATGCAGCATGATCTCCCTCTCAAACAGCTTGGCTTACTCCATGCAGCATGATCTCCCTCTCAAACTGCTTGGCTTACTCGCATGCAGAATGATCTCCCCTCTCAAACTGCTTGGTTTACTCAAAAGGAAAGGTAAAACCAATCCATTTGGAACTAAACATGCTGCAAAAGCTGCCAGATTAGAACAGCAGTGCTTTGTCTGAATGCTTATTGGAGCCTTTCCTTTCCTTTTTATTATTAAGTGAACATACAAATTGCTAAAATTATGATCTAAATATCAGAATCATGCCAGCTACTGATATTTACAAATATCTTCCAACGAAATTTTTTTTTCAGACACTAAACTCACAATGAGTGTTCAAATTGCAACAATCCATTTAAATGGTTTCATTTGAACACCTAGAAATCTCTGATTAATTATTATTTTTTTAAACTCCAGAGTCCTTCTCTAAGTATTCTATTTTATGACTGAACTGAAATGATATTTCTCCCATTGATTCTTAAAAAAAAAAAAAAAAAGAACTATAGTAACCTATATACCTTCAACTCTACAGAAAATGTCAATAACTTTGTAATTAATTTCTGTTCCACTTGAGATCATTTTGACTAATGTTCACTTGTCACACTAAAGGTATGTTCTTCATCATTTCAAAGTGAAGAACAAGCTAATCAAATTGATTAAGAATCAAGTTTAATCAGTATTTTCTTTATTTCAATCTCATGTACATGAACACACAACTACAGATACCTAAAGTGAGGTATTTAACAACAGAGTTTGCACAGAACAAAACATTTCAAATCATGAAACAAGTCAATTCTTGCAAATTTCTAGGTGTGGAAAAAAAGACATAGATGTCGAATAAGAAAATCTGATAAAATAACTAAACGTTCCTTGTATCAGAAATCTTAAGGCTTAGGAAAAAAGACAGAAGAATAATCACAAGGGGTAGAGAATCAGCAAAGGAAGCAAAGAAGGGGAAAGAGAGGTTGGGGGTGTGGAAAGGGTCCTTTACTTTTACTTTTTACTTACCCATCATGATACCAAAGTACACCATGACTTCTCAGTGTACAAGTCAGAACAGCAGTAGCTCCATGCTTTACAAGCACCAGTTTATGATCTTCCCTTGCTCCTCCTGGCCTACTTGTTGAATCTGAAAGGAGACAATAAAAAAGACTGCAATTGACTGAAACAAATGTGAAGTGCAGAGCTGGGTTCAGTTGCATGTCCAATATCCCTACAACATTTTTTTTCGTGTATCAGGAAAACTGAAAATCATTTTAGACCAAGCCAACTGGGAGACCTTGTTTATAAAAATAAAAATAAAAATGGCACTGAAGAAGATTCAGATGCATTATCACTTAGCCAGCAGGTAAGTATGCTAGCCATTTTAATACCATAACTTCTTGCCTGGATAATGTTCTTTGTTTAATTTCCAGTATCAGCAGAATTCTTAGTTGTGACCAGTACAACACTAGAATCAGAACTGCTTTCTAAACAAAGCGTACTTGGTAATCTTAGTAAGTGGATGAGAAGGGGTTGAAGGAGGGAACTGGACATGCTGCTTCATTTTCTTATGGTCTGGAAAATGCGAAGGCCAAACACTGTATCCCAAATTGCAGTTTAAAAAAAAATGTCCAGTCACCTTCTTCAGGTGTATAAAAAAATAATTGGGTAAACAAGCACGTAAACAAGAAGCCAATTAAAAAAAAATTTATATATATTTGTTTCATGCTATAAGGACAATGATGGCTTTGTTAGCTTAGTGGCTAGATGTGTACCTGCCAGCAGTGGCTAGATGTGTACTTGCCAGCAGTGGCTAGATGTGTACTTGCCAGCAGTGGCTGGATGTGTACCTGCCAGCAGTGGCTAGATGTGTACCTGCCAGCAGTGGCTGGATGTGTACCTGCCAGTAGTGGCTGGATGTGTACCTGCCAGCAGTGGCTAGATGTGTACCTGCCAGCAGTGGCTAGATGTGTACCTGCCAGCAGTGGCTGGATGTGTACCTGCCAGCAGTGGCTAGATGTGTACCTGCCAGCAGTGGCTGGATGTGTACCTGCCAGCAGTGGCTGGATGTGTACCTGCCAGCAGTGGCTAGATGTGTACCTGCCAGCAGTGGCTGGATGTGTACCTGCCAGCAGCGGCTAGATGTGTACCTGCCAGCAGTGGCTGGATGTGTACCTGCCAGTAGTGGCTGGATGTGTACCTGCCAGCAGTGGCTAGATGTGTACCTGCCAGCAGTGGCTGGATGTGTACCTGCCAGCAGTGGCTAGATGTGTACTTGCCAGCAGTGGCTAGATGTGTACTTGCCAGCAGTGGCTAGATGTGTACCTGCCAGCAGTGGCTAGATGTGTACCTGCCAGCAGTGGCTAGATGTGTACCTGCCAGCAGTGGCTAGATGTGTACCTGCCAGCAGTGGCTGGATGTGTACCTGCCAGCAGTGGCTGGATGTGTACCTGCCAGCAGTGGCTAGATGTGTACCTGCCAGCAGTGGCTGGATGTGTACCTGCCAGCAGTGGCTAGATGTGTACTTGCCAGCAGTGGCTAGATGTGTACCTGCCAGCAGTGGCTAGATGTGTACTTGCCAGCTGTGGCCCAATTAAATAATAAGCAAAGTAAGCTTTACTGCTTAAGGCCTCACAATCTGAAGGGAGTTTAAAACAAATTTCTTCTTTATTTTAGCTGTAATGCAGAATTCTTTAGACAACAGTCAAATATTTTTGTTTCATTAGCAAAAAAAAAAGGAGAAAACTGTATTAAGTTGTAACTTACAGCCTTTTAGGGGATTATATAATTTCTGTGCTTTTGCAAACAAATTATTTATTATTATTTCTTATATTTCTCTTTTGTTGGTGTGGGAGCTGCGTGGTCTCAAGGCATAGTGTCGAGTGCTAGATTGGACACCCGTGTGCATTGTGGTGCATGTAAAAAATCCCATGGCATTTGGAAATCTAAAAGAGTAGCCTAACAGCACTCATTCATTCATTCAGTAGCATGTCCCTAGTGGAACCTCGCTGCCATAACAACCCTCCGGAAAACCTTCCTATCCTGAGCAAGATGTCCTGCGTCTGATACACCCATCTGGAGATCATCTGCCACATCCTGCACCCATCTTCTTCTTGGCCTTCCTCTTCCTCTCTTCCCAGGCATATACCCCTCCATTATTGTTCTCTCTAGACTTCCATGACGTTTCAAGTGACCAAAATATTTCAATTTTCTTTGTTTTATTGTCTTTACTAGCCAACCCTCTTCAATATTCAGCTCTTGAAGTATGGATGCATTTGTTCTTTTCTTTACCCAAGATATTCTTAGAACCTGTCTGTAACATTTATATTCAAATGCATTTATGCGCTGTTCCCGCTTGTTTAGTAAGTGTCCAGGTCTCACAGGCGTATGTTGCAATGGGAAAGATGCATGCTCTTAAAAATCTGACCTTTGTAATTCTATCTGTACAATTCCATAATTTATTCAGTTGTTTTAGTCTTTGAAGAGCAATTGATAGTCGCCGTTTAATTTCTTTCATGTGTCACCATTGTTGGTAACCAGTGACCCAAGATATTCAAAATTTTCCACCACTTCCAATCTTTCCTCATTAACATATATTTCCTTCTCCATGGCAGTTTTGTTTGTATGCATTATCTTTGTTTTTGCTATGTTAAGAAATAAGTTATGATTTTCACTATTTCTTTGGAGTGAGGTTAATAAGTTTTCTAAACCATTTTGTGATGTTTGATAGTAATACTGTATCATCAGCAGCATAACGAATTTCTGGTATTTCATGACCACCGATGTTTAGGGCATCATATTGTTCCTTGTTTATATCATCTCTTACATTTCTCATTATATTTTCGGCGTACAGGTTGAACAAATACGGTGACAGCACACATCCCTGACGGACTCCTTGCTTGATGCCAAACCAGTCTGATGTCTCTCCATCTATTCTGACTGCTGCTTGTTGGTCTTGATAGAGCATTTTAATGAGCTGCACTATATGTGATGGAAAGCCCATATTCCTCATGATTTCCCAAAGCTTCTGATGTTGTACACAGTCAAATGCTTTTGAATAATCCACAAAACATAAGTACAGATTTACATTAAATTCTCTACACTTCTCTATTATTAAACGCATGTTGAATATATGATCTCTTGTACCTCTTCCCTGTCTAAATCCAGTCTGAGCTACATTAATCTCTTCTTCCATTTTCTTATGCAGTCTTCTCATTATAATTTTTAGTAGAATTTTACTTGCATGACTGATCAGGGCAATAGTTCGATAGTTTGTACATAATTTCAGGTCACCCTTTTTTGGTATTGGAATGAAGATAGTTCTCTTCCAGTCTTTTGGCCAAATACCATATTTCCATATCTTTTCACATAATGCATGATAGATTCTAACAGCACTACCCAGGCAAATTTTGGAGTTAAAAATCTACCCAAAGTATTTCAGGATCCTCACTGGTGCTACAGAGCCTGTGCACTGTGCTGAGCTTCTTGGGACTCAGAAGTGAGTTAGTAGAGGAAAGGAGCATTTATGGGTTACTACCCGTGTGCCATGACGTTGGTCCGTTGTTTAAAACCTCAAACCTCATTTATTGGTGGTGTTGTTTTAAAATTAAATGACAATATTTTTCCATTATCTCTATATTTAAAAGGCCTTTATATTAAAAATGTTTTTGATTATTCAGTGTAATTTAAAAATAGGCTTTATATAGCTACATAACATAGCCCTTGACCTGTTAGGGTCACGGAGGTGTATTGATGAAAGCACTAGCACATAAAACTCGTCATCTTTCTCTGTCTTTCACTTGATGAATATGTGTATGATAACTTAGTCCTGACATTTCTTGATGTTGTCAGTCCAGTTTCTTCTTTGACCTCCTCTTCTTTGACTACCCCCCCCCCCCCCATGTTCCTTGAAGTAGTCTTTAATATAGCTTAGAGCCCCATATAGTCTTAACCCATCTCTGCTGCCAGCGAACAGGAAATAGGTTCAAATCTGCATTGGGGTGAACTGTTTCAAAATTAACTTTGTCTCCCAAGTCGACCCAGCCTCAATGTTCTAGTAATTAAGGCAGACGGCACGATGTTGACCTTGTCAGAAGAGTAACAGGTGTAAGAAGCATCCATTATTTTAATTAATGTGAACAATGATGGAAATGATAAGGCGTTAAAAATGTATTGTTATCAAAAAGAGTCATGAATCAGAGGGATTAGAAAAAAAAAAGACAAATAAACATGTTCTGGTAAATAAGAAGAAAACAGTTTTAAAAGCAATCCTGTCCTGGTTGCATCCTGTGACATAAAACTCAAAAGAGACTAATGAATTGCATCACTAGTGAAAAAAAAGGAAGAGTTAGAACAGTGACAATATTCATGAAAAGGCAGGCGGGCTCAGATCTACCAATGAAGATATACACATAATTTAATGAGAATAGTACAAGACAGACAACTATGAAGTGGAATCAATTATCTCTTCAACCAACCCAAGTGCTGAAGAGGAGCGACTGGCCAAAGGGTTAAGAATGCAGGGCTCTCATGCAGGAGACTCAGGTTCAAATCCTTGGTAAGGTTGGGGATTTTTTCTGTCAAGGGCAAAAATAAAATGCTAACCTGTACAGTCTGTTGCGACTGCACTAGCCAGGCAACCTCACATCCTCAAGCTCAAAGAGCACCCTGCCCACCACAAAAGTGGTAAATACAGGCTGATGATATTTGAACAATAAATAGTAAGCAACTTACACCTGTTTGGATCAACAAAACTGGATCTTGTTGTTTTTTCTAATGTGTCTCTGTCATCGGGTCTGCCCACTTTCAGACATGTATCAGTGCACTCTTGCTCACTGTCAAATTGGTTGCCATTCCCACCACAGCCTGTATATACAAAACGTGCACACTGCTTTCTGTCAGCACTATAGTACCACTTGATGTTATATCCTCTGCAGTTCCCCTGTACAGAAAGAAATATGGTTCTTTATTAATATCATACTCCAAATGATGTCACAGGACAGTTCAACATTTTAGAGGGTGGTAAGACTGGGTTTCTCGGCTCTCTGATGCTTTTAACTACCCCAAAACATCTAGAACTGACCCTAACCCCAACCCACCTGCGTCCCGTGACAAAGTGCAGCCTAGTCCAATGACTGCATGCAGCCTAGGTCCCACGACTGCATGCAGCCTGTTTACCAACTCCTGAAATATTAGACTGTTCCGTGACCTGTAGATTTCCCCTGTTTGGGGTAAGATATTAATAAAGCACCAGAAATATTCATTTACAGCATATTATTGTATAAAGTCTTTCATTACATGGCAGTTCTAACGTATCCCAGTGAGACTGTAGTAAAAAATATAAGTCTCTTAGAAGGGGCATGTCAAACATGCAGCAGTTGGGCTACATGCGACCTTTGCAAATAAACATTTCTATTACTGTACTTCAATGAGTGTGGCTGTCATGACAACACAGATATGACCCATGTGGCTCTCGGGGACCCTCAGTTTGACATGCCTGTCTTACAGCATGTCTGAGTTCTCAAATTCACATAAACTAGACAGAGTGAGTTAAATGAACAATTAGCACTGATAGATCAAAATATAATAATTTGTAGTAATCTAAACAACAATATCCTTTTAAACCCATCAGGTTATAATTGAGACATATAGTATTTTTAATCCTTTTTCAATAATGGGAAATTATGCCTACCAGATATGTTTGCTTATTCAACATTGCATAGCTCATGTATTGCTTGCATAAGACTAGGAGTATAGACTGTCTTCTTCCTCTTCTTATTGTTTTTCAGCATTCTGAAATCTTGACGTTTATTGCTGCAGATATCACCCGCCTCCATTGATTAACCTTCTCTTTCCAGTTGATAACACCAAGTGTTTGCAGGTCTGTCTGGATATTATCTCTCCATCGTCTTCTTGGTCTCCCTCATGGTCTATGACCATACATCTCCCTGGTGTTTACAGTTTGTTACTTCTCTGTCATCTGACATTCTTTCAGTATATGCCAACCATTTCAGTTTATTAGCTCTCATGATACCAGTGATCAGTGGTGATTAAAACAGTTAATGCATTTGTTGTTGCTTCTCACTCTCCATTCACCGCTGTCTGTATCTTTGATAGGTCCAAAGATTCATTGTAAAACTGTCAAGTTCAATATATTTTTTAAGTGTACTTGAAAATATTAAAGCAATATAATTGTATAGTCTGTCTTTGTGGATATTTAAAGGGATCTGGGATACCATTATTCTGTCATAATATATATTTACATCTTGTATGCTAATCCCTGTTCTTGTAATGTACTATTAAATCCTTCCCTGTAGTTATCCAGAGCCATCTACTCCAATTTTCAACTGGCACAGGCTTATTGCAGTCAATCATCAATTCTGTAAGGAAAGTCCTTTGTAGTTCATATTTCTTGCAGTATAGTCAATAATAGTCAGTATTATTATTCATCTGACACACAGAACAGATGTCTTCTGCTGTAGTGAAAAAAGCCACTCCAAGCTGCAGTCTTAGTAATTGTTTATTGCCAGGGAATGTTATTTGACACTTTAATGTTGGAGCTTTAAAAATCAATAAGAAAAAAACTATTACTAAAAAAAAAGAAAAAAACCTTTACAAATGAGACATAGGAAGTTAAGAAAATATATCTGTTTTTGTTTAGAAATTGAATTGATACTATGAAGCAAGAGATGAAATGTTATTTCAGCACTGATTTAAATTATTTACGCCTAATTTTTTACTGCCGGATCATTGACAAGTTAAGACAGTTTGGTGGTTTTGTTCATGTTGTGAGGAGGAACATATCTGAAAACTTGGTCTCAGCTGGCAAACTTGATATTAAAAGAACATGTAGATGACCTAAATAGTATTTGGATGAGTGAACTACATGAAGTAGGCCCAAAAAAAAAAGTCCTGGGCTTTTTTTGTTGTTGTGAAAATAGTTTCAAAAATATTTTACTATTTTATTGATGATTGAACTGAAAAAGAAAATATAACTGATTATTACAAATACAAATGCACTCAGTTTTAAAATTGCTTGCCACCCTCTCCCCCTTTTTTCCCCTTGAAATCTCCTCATGATCACCCTGGGGAGGCATGTCCCCTAGGTTGGACACCATTGATCTCAAGTAAATGTGTAAATAATTAAATAATTTCAATTCTTTACCTGTGCTGATCCCCATTATTTGTAGTGATGAATAATACCACTTTGCCAGCCAATTACAAATCAATTTTAGAAACACAACAAACCTTTTCCGGCTGCAGTTGGCAAACATGTGGACCTTTCTCTGCATCTGTAATGATCACATCAACATGGCTGCCAAAGTCCTTGTAACGATCACACTTCCTATCACAAGCTTCTCTTGTGTCAAAGTTGTTTAAATTACCATCACATCCACCATATATAAAGTTTTGGCAAGATTTTGTTTGAGAGTTAAAATAAAATCTAGGAATGGCTGCCCGGCATGGACCAACTTCCTGTGGTTGGTGACATACTTCTGAAAATAGAAAAATAATTTTGAATAATTTTCTTCTGTATACTTTAAAAAAAAGTGACTGCCTATTTCTTTCTCTGCTATTTTTATCCCCCAAAGGAGCATAGACCCTCAACCAGCTCACATCAGTTCATTCTATTGTTTGCTATTGAATGCAGCTCACCCTATGTTCTCGTTATCATTTAGCTTCACTCTCTTTCTCCCTTCTGTGTGTGTTTTTTGTCTTCCTTCATTACCTACCATGCCATTATAGGTTCCAATTTAAGGACATTTTAGTTATTCTGTTCTAAAGTTTTCTGTGTGTAAACCCAGTGCCAGTGTTTTTTTTCCCCTTCCCTCTTGATTCACTGAAGTGTGTTTGGTTCTGTCTTTAAGCTCTACAATAATGATTCTATCATACCATTTAATCCCTTTATTCTAAAACAGGCACCAGTCAATGGATAATTGTAGTTTGTTAGTAATTATTTTAGTTGTTCTCCATGTTTCCACACCATACATAGTACTAAGCTGACATTTGAGTGAAATATTTAAAGCTTAAAACTAGTTTTAATTGCTTTTGGCTTTCACAAAATTCCTAGTGCTATGGAACTCCTCTTGACTTTTGTAATTGATTAGCTCTATCAGTTCCACATTTTGGAGTAAGATATCCCTAAAAGAAATTAGATTACTGTTTGAATTGTTTATTCTCATTATCTTTGTCTTTTCCTTGTGAATTTGTAGACCTAATTGTTGTGATCTCTCATCAAGTATGTTTCCTTTATCCTGCATCTGACTTCAAGAGTTGGACACGAGAGAAATGTCATCAAAGAAGTTTAGATCAGCAAGCTATTTTATAGAGGTTCACTGAATTCCACTCCTAATGTTAGCTGTTCCTATCTTCATTAAAAATATAATATATATATATTTCTTCAATAAAAATTGCAGAGGTGGCAAAAGGCTGCTCTGTTTCACATCTGTTCTTATTTCAAATGTATCTGTTTTCCCTCACCTGCTTATAAAAATGATTGTTCAAGATGACAAAATCTATGGTTTAAATGTAAGAGTAATTGCAGAGAAAAAAATATTCTCTAAAACATAAAGTGAAAGTAAATCATGCAACATCAAAGTAAATAAAACTAATCTGAAATGCCAGACTTGAAACATGTTAAAGTATTTGGATACCTTTACTCTGAAGAAAGCTGTGTCAAAGAAGGAAAAAAAGCCAAATCATGCAATATATTCTTTGTTGGGGAGCTGTTAGATGCTCACCTGCTGTTCAATTCCACACCAAAATAAATTTTTCTTTAGAACTGATCTTAGTTCCCAGGTTCACTCAGTTCTAAATGGGTACTAGGTGACGTCAGTTCTAGAGTTGTTATTCTAACACCGTCTATCCAACAACAAAGTTGACATCTGCCGATTAGTGGTATATTGTCTCCTCAGTGTGCTAGCTGGTTACTAGGGGTTTGATCATATCTGAGACATTGATGACATTCTGAATGCACACAGTTGGTAACCAGTAGACGAGATATCCATTTATTTTACTTATCCAACTTTCATAGGTAATCTGGTCCAGTCAATGTCTATTATTAGCTTGCAGGTCCGACAAGAGATGATGACATTTTTCAAGTACAGAATCGACGTCTGCTACCATCAACACTCGTTACCTTTCAGTTCTGTTTCATTACACACATAATAGACATACATGGTTGATCCAGCATCTCTGATCATGGCTGTTAGACTCCTTGGCCTGCTGGAACTAGTCGGCTACCACTTCTGGTTGGGCTGTCATCAGATTGTCGTCTGGCTGTCCTCTCATGAAATAGAATCTCCTTCACGTCTTCAATTACACAATGTCACATTCTCTCTTCTAATAAACACGACCTCTCACGCCAGCTGCCGAACACATACTAACTGATTAGACCTTGGTCTAATTTTATAACCCTCCTTCTGGGTTTCACGTACTAGTTTGAGCCCTGTTCGTATATCTCGTGTTTCTATGAGTATTCACATTACCATGTATTTCTCTCTTATCTCATGTATACTCCTATATTGTCATTTTAATGTGCTTTGTAATTCTGAAGTGCCTGATTCCAGTTGCAGGGAATTTGGCAACAAACTGCTTTTTGTTTATTTCAACAATGGTGTCAAGAGTCAACTGTTTAGAAAGCAATGACAAACTACTGAATGTAAAATAGCAGAGTAAGACTAAACAGAGCAAAATTGCTGGGGTTGGTATTTCAATACCCTGTAAAGGATCCACGACAAACCAATAACAAACAAAGTGTTACACTAGAAGAGCAATCTTCGAGTTTTAAGTAAGTAAAGTAAAGGACCCTTTTCTATACCTTCAGGTGTACTGGGCATATAGGGCTAGACCTTCATTTTGTAGACTAATCAGCATTTGGTGAGTGATATGGTCAGCATCCCACCAGCTGCCTTTACTTCCCAGGACTCTACCTAGTACCCATTCAAGGCTGTGTCAACCTGGAAGTCAGGTCATTTTCGTTTTTAAATAGTCCATCTGTGTCAGGGCCTGAACCCATCAGCCTGAGTTTCAGGTAGTTTAACTTATACAAATTATGGGATACAATGAAATAATGTACAGTTGGAACAAAATGGATTAACGTTTCTAAGAAAATGGATAAAAAATAGTGTAGAAGTGTAGCAATGTACTGAGCAGACATTAAACAAATGGTTAAATGGCAAATTAGCTGGTACTGATGTGAGTTAGCTCACTTTACCATAAGAAACTTGTTTAACATTCATAGAGCCTCATCTCAACAATGGAGAAACTCGTTCCTACCTTTATCATTACAGAAACTATTACATTCTTCTATAGTTTCAAAATTGTTATTATTTCCTCTGCAGCCACCATACACAAACTGCAAGCATGCTCCTGACAAATGATCATAATGCCATCGTTGTATGTTGGCCCGGCAAGGTCCTGTTTCAGCCTTCATCAAACAAACAGCTGTAAGAATAGGTACTTATCAACAAATGGGAAACATATATAAATAAGTAAGCAGCATTTGTCTTGTTTTAAAATAGTAAAGATCCACAGTGAACTAATTGTTAAAAAAAAGTTTTAAAAAATAAACAGATTTTTCTGAATCTTTATAAAAGGGTACAGACAAACATACAGGCAATACAAGCAATTTAAACAGTTTTAAGTACTTTAATTCCATGTGGTGTTGGTCATCATTTCTTGTATACTACAAATTAATTCTGATGTTCTTTCAGCCATGATGCCAGACTGTTAACATAATCTTTCTTTGTCTCGCCTTGCTTCTCTTCCGCTCCAACTTTCTTACTGTTGCTAAATGCTCCAGCTTTTCTGGTTTCATGAAATTCCTGCACAAAATATATTTTTTGTTTCCTTGATCTTTCTAATACGTTCAAATACTTTTTTACAAAACTGCTGACTTCCCATGATTTATTTCTATATATAAGGACTGGCTCCTGAGCTTTTGTTCTTACATCATCAATTGACATTTCAACAGTTCACTTCTTTGAAACTTATTTATTGCCTTAGCTGTTAAAAGAGCATCAACACATGATTGGCTTCAGATTAGTCAGATCTACTTTAATGTTGCACACTTTGATGTTGCAACTACCCATATTTTTTCCTTTCAATGGCTCTGACTGACTGACTTGCTACCCCACTAGGACATCACACAAGTGATAAACACCTGATGACACAAAGTGCCACCATGGGGATGAGGATCACTGTGGAGAGGTCCCAGAAACCGCGTTCAGACAATTGGCCATATTTATGGCCTGCCTATATTGCGGCCCCTGGCAAAAGCCAGGGTGGGGCTTCAAATAACAAAAAATGTCATCCTAAAAAGGACGTAAGGATTAAAAACAATATCCAATGGCTCTAAGACTTTTGTTTCACTCTGACTTTCTGCAAAAATTGTATTCACCATGTCTTGAAAACGAATTTCACTTTTGACAATCAAAATGATTTCCTCAACATTAATCCAGTAAGTTTATGTTATGCTAACCAAATAATATTTCTGGCATATCATGTGCGGATTTCATTATTATTTCTACGGAACAAAGGTTTAAAAATCAAACAAAATAAAAATTTTAAAAACTCAACATTTTATTTATTTTTGAAAACAACTAGCTAGACTGGTATAATACTACTTTCTGGCAATGAGGAAACCTAGGAAGAAAAATTAATCTCTTCCCTGCTTGTAAAAATTTACTGATATCAGGTTGTCATGATAAAGGCCCTATTTTGTGAAAAAACATTACATCAGATTATGTTACATAAGATTATGTTATTTTATTAGATAAAAACAACTTATATTGTGCTTGTTGTCTATCTAAAGTCAATGCTAAAATGTTACATAGACCTGTTCTCCTGTATGGCAGCGAAACTTGGAATGTCAGTGAACAAATTAAAAAGAATTTGGAAGCAACAGAGAAGTGGTTTCTGAGACGAATGTTACGAATACCTTGGATGGCTAGAGTAACTAACAACGATTATTTGAAAGAAGCTAATAAAAGAAGATCTCTAATTGCAACAATAAGAAAGAGACAAATACTGTTCTTTGACCACATTATGAAAAAGAGACACTGGAGAACATCGTGACAACTGGAAAGATCAGTGGCAAAAAAGGGAAATAATGCTGGATGAGCTGTAACTATGGCATGGAGGGATAACATCAAGAGCTGTTCCGGGTAGGTAGGGATCATGATCTGTGGAGATGCATGAGCACCTACTCCAGTTGGCAGGGCACATGATGATAATGATGTAGTCTCTCTCTCTCTCTTTATCTCTCTCTCCCCCCCCCTCTCTCTCTCTCTCTCTCTCTCTCTCTCTCTCTCTCTCTCTCTCTCTCTCTCTCTCTCTCTCTCTCTCGCTTTGTACCTGCAGGATCTCTTCGTTCTGTACTGTCTGGTGCCTCTGTCAAGAAGAAAAAACTTAATAATTATAACACGTAACAAATAATATTTGAACTGTACCATAGTTACCAGCAAGTTAACACAAGTGCCCACTCAGATTATTCCTACACTTTATTCTCCCAACCCTCCCACCCCATCACTCCAGTGAAGAAAGTAGTTCCTTCCATGAAACCAGCATAATACTCACCCTTATCTTTTATTTAATGTTTGGTCTTTCTAAAATACTTTAGTCTTTTTAGTTTTAGTCTCAAGCACAAAATCCATTCAAAACCATTTTGTGGTGCTCCAACATAATCGTGCTCTATAGCTGTACAGTTAAACAGGTTTCTTGGATTTTTAGTTGTTTAATTCTCATCCTTGAGAGATGAATCCTTCAGACTGCAGTCCTAGAGGGGATAAACGTGAAAATGATTCCATAATAATAATAACATTTATGTCACAGACACTAGGTAGAGAACTACAAAGACAAAGACACACAACACATACCACAATGGCTTAATGATGTAATAAAAAACTAGAAAGATAAAAGCATACAATAAATAGCAGAATGACTTAATAACTAGACAATTCTCTGTATTTGTGAGAGAGAGAGAGAGAGAGAGAGAGAGAGAGAGAGAGAGAGAGAGAGAGAGAGAGAGAGAGAGAGAGAGAGAGAGAGAGAGAGAGAGAGAGAGAGACATTGCAGAGGAAACTAGACACACCTCAAATACGATTATGATGCTAGAATATGTGTAGACCTAACACATGACACCCCAACAGATGTCAATGCTATCAGACTGCCCTCACCATTCACAGAGTAAAGCACAAGTAAGGGAGACATTTAATGCCCTCAGTGCATCAGGCATATCCTGCAGGACCTATATTTTGATTAGACCAATGAGCAAACAATGTTAATATCCTTCCAACCCCTGTTGTTTCAGGTTCTGCAGTTCCTCTTGTACACATACTGAAGAGCACTGGTGAAAGTGAAGACCCCTTGGGTAATCCCGGGGCAATATTGCATGGTTCTGAGGTCCATGTACCCAGGCAAAGAGTGACTTTACGTGAATGCAGGACAGCTGCTGTCTAGTTCACCAGCCAGGGATATACCCCCATCTCCACGAGTGCGAATATCCCCAGACGCTCCATACATGGATGATGTGGTCAATATTTTGCCCACCACCTTTACCTCCCAGAATGTTACCTGGTAGCCATTTTGGCTAATCCAGTCTGGGAGACAAGGTCAGTGTTGACAAATTTCCACCTCAGGGAGGTGAATGCGCCGCAACAATAGTACTGTGGCTTCCGCTTTACAAGTGACTGTCATTTAGATTTCACAATGCCGAAATATAGCAAAGCTTGCTGGCAATCCTTGGCTTTATGAACGCACTACGTAATTTAGAGGTGCTGAGTTCGATCCCAGCTACAGGCACTTTAGAACTGACCACCTTTCATTTGTTTCGCAATGATATCTACAGCCGAGCATTCAGAAAGCAGTGTCAAACTAATAAATGTAACCATTGCCTTGTGAAATCACAAACTGCCAACAATTGCTAGGCTTTATTCTGCAAAGACCTCTAAAGGATATACAACTAACTTTATTACCATTTTTTTTTCTACATATTCAGTGTTTGTTACACAAATTCATTACATCTCTTCTGAAACACATTACAATCAGAGCACACATGTTACTGGAACAATTAAAAAGCAAAATAAAAACACATCCAAGTTAATTACCTCTTTCTTCTACAACAGTGATGACTATCTTGTCAATATCCCCATAGGGTCTGCTTCTACAGTTGTAACTGCCTGCATCTTCTTGATGAATATTCTTTAAAACCAGCTCACTTACTAGACTATGTTTCAGCTGAGGGTTGACAAAAGTATTTACTGAAAGATCATTATCTTCAGCGCTGATGAGGCGACCATCGAAGAACCATTCTATCTCAGTCGGCTGTGCTGGCCCTACAGCAGTACATCTAATGTGCATTGTTGAGCCTCTTTTAGCAGTTGGCTGACCAATGATATCAACTGTAGTAAAAATTATACTGTGAAACTAAAGGACATTTCATCTAGTTTTTCATTTGTTAAATTCTTAAACAGCCCATTTTGCACTTTTTTATTGTTAACCTTTGAGTAGCAGTCATGCTAGCATTGAATTTAGCCATTTGCTTCGAGCTCTGAAGATTTTTAGGTTCATCTCATGTATCAATCGATTCACGGATGCAATTTTTACAGATATCCCTGGGGAATGTTTTTGTTGTTGTTGCAGCTATGGAGTTTGTGCTTTATGTGACACACTCAGCAGGCAGCTATAGTGCATTTCAAAAGTCATGCCCTCATACTTTAACAAATATCTTGAAACCTCTATATGGATCAATACAAATATTTCCATGTGGCCTTAAATTTCCCATGTCTTAGGATTTTATAATTTACAATCGCATAGGTGCTGCTATTTGCCTAAAGTAGCAAATTTCTTTCATCTTTGTTGAATAATAATTTGTGAACCCCTTAAAAAAAATAGAATATTCAGTAACTGATACATGCCTAGAGATTGTCTGGAAATTGGTTCACATATGCAGTGATTTATGGTGATTATTTTGATAGCCTATCTCGCATATAATGAAAAATTGTGTTCACATAACTCACTAGAGGCTAAGCTGGAGAGGACCGCCTGAGAGTGAAATGCCTATGACATTCCTGCAATTTGATTTTTTTAAGTTTCCATGACTCAGTTAGCTGTAAGCATGCTAGCTGTTTGCTTTGATTCAGTGTTATTTTTTATTCATAGACTGCAAAATGAAAAAAAGATGTTTCTTCTAAAGACATGATAATTAACATGTTGCATGCTATATTTTTAACAAATCTGAACAAGTGGATACAGAGTTAGAGATTTGTAAAGTTGGGCACAATTTCTGGAATGGATTATAACTGTTCTTTGGAGAGGAACTGAGCCATATGGGATACAGTCTGGTGCAATGGAGTCTACTTTTGAATCCCAGCCAGTGATTATAATATTTTATGATAATAGAAAACTGATACAGTATGATTGTTAATGCTTAAACACACATGTTGAATACAAGTATTTTTTGCAGGACAAGAAAAAACAAACAAGAAAAATTATCAAAACCGGACATATGTTTAGAACAGAAAAAAAAAATATGGCTGTCTTAAGAAAGTCTACTCAAAATTCTTTGGATGACCAAATGAAATTATTTAAATAGTCTGAAGGAGACTAAGACATCATTTAACAGGACCCAGTGCAGCAATGCAGCCAAGAGGGAACGAATGGGTTTAGGGGGTGCACTAGCTAAAATATCAAGCAAATGTCCAATTATGTATAATCAGGCATTGGGCAATTTGGACATATAATACTGCCCTTATTGGTTTAGTCCAATCGGCACTCTCTGGATAGTGTGGTCAATATAATCCTATCCACATTTACTTCTTAAGAAATTTCTGTTCAAACATGTTAGGTGAGGATAAACTAGCAACCAAAATAAATTTAAAAACAAAAATTGGCCCTTATGAAGATTTGAACCCTTAATACATTGCTGGCAGGCAAGAACTTTAACAACTGAGCTGCTATGGTAGAGGAGCTAAAATGACTACGAAGAAATATAAACATTTTTCAAATTGAAGTTTATGTTCTAATAAACAGACACAGAGTTACATAAATCTTACTAGAGCTGCGAATACTCTCAGCTGGACCTGGAGTTCTCACGGCTGCTGCAACATAGATGTAGAAATTATAATGTGGAAAATGTCAGTCATCAGTTCATCTGTTATTTGATATTTAACAACAAAATAAAGAAAAGCTTAAATCAAAATAAAGAACAGCTTAAATCAGTTGGCATCTGTTGCAAAGTGTTGCTTCGTAATTTGGGCGTTCTATGGTCTGGTAAATAAATTGAGCTGTTATAACTGTTTTTTTTTTTGGGTGTGACCTGTGTAAAATATGCATTTTTAGGAGGAGTATTTAATGTCTGGAAGATCAGAAAAAATAAAATTAAAAAATGGGTCTTTGGCATTCTTTAACTCTTTGAGTCCCAGGGGATTTAGCATCACAGGCCCAGGTTGTAGTAAAGAAAGTAATTAAATTGGTGCATCATGCGTTCATTGGGCTTCTAGGTAGGAACCTATGAACGTATGATGCGTTCCTTGGGACTCAAAGAGTTAAGTCACAGGGGTGAAAGGGTTACATGTGTATAGGGGTCGACAGACAATCAAAGGGGAAAGTGACTTAGAAATTGTAAAAGGATTGATGCAAAGAACAAAGGCTGTATTTATAAATGATTATACATATTGAAATTATAATATTCCTGCTGTCATTCACAAACATCAGCAATTTTTAAAAATGAACTAAAATGGTTTTACAATGTTCAGGGTTTTCAGCCCCACACTTTAACCCTCCCTCCCCCAACCTGGAGGACCAGGGTATCTTTCATTGTTTGTTCTCTACCCTTAGACTTATTTGTCTTGGGATGCACTGCTGAGAACCATATTGCCACCTGCATAGCTCTTCAAGTCATTGGATACCCATGCTTCCCCATCTATGGCAAGGCAGAGATGCCTAATGGTAAGGGAAGGTTGGTACCTCAGATAAATAGAGGAGGGTGATATCTGCAGCAATGAACTTCAAGGGCTTGTAATGCTGAAGAAGAGGAAAAACAAACATTAATTTGTACCTGTCACAAAAGCTGAAGTTTCTGGTTTAGCAGTTGTCGTTGTGGTATGGGCAATAACTCCTCCCATGCATTGTCTTTGACAGTCTTCAATCCCAGCAAAGTTATTCTCATTTCCTTGGCATCCTCCATAGTAAAATATTTTACATCTTCTGTCCCTTGGGTCATAGTAATATCTATGGATATTTTCTGAACAGGAGCCAGCATCTTTTTCCATGTCACAAATGTTGACAAAATCTGAAAACAAATTATGGTATATCGTGTAAGAAATTGTCCATTGTTTTGCTTATTTAATGTCACTCTATATTCAGATTTATTCAAATTACCATCTGTCATGCCTACAAAAAAAAAATGGATAACAGTTTAACTCTATCAGCCCGCAATACTGTTTTTCCAGTAATTTCCTAATCTGCTGCTGAACCGCTATATCTAATTTTGGGTACTTTGTGTACTACCTTAAAAAAATGCGTCACAAACTAAAAATAACCAACCAGTCATGGTCAAACCTCATGGTTAGTCATAGCAAATGGCTGCCCCCCATATGTTTGGATTTACTTTGTGTAGTTTAACGTGAAAAAATTCTGAAAATTCACAATGAAACGAGCAGCTGATGAACCAAGCACTTCGACAGGTCTAGGCTATTCAAGTCCAAGAGGGAATCGATACTTTGGTTGATTCAGCCTCTGAGGAGTCAGAATTTCGTCAAGAATATGTTCCCAGTTAAAGTGACACAGTCAGTGAGAGCTCCAGTGATGAGGAGAATCTTGAACCTTATAGATCTAGAACTAGATCAATAGTAAGAGAAGGGGGTCATGTCCCTCAAACAGCAACATCTGGTGCACACTTTGTGAAAAAAGGCTCATCCTTCTGGGTGAATTGGCACAAAAAGGTGGAAAATTGGCGCTAGATGAAAGGTAAAACTATTTTCTACAATGTCTACAAGTTTCATCTCATTCTAACCACTCGTTTGCATGTAACTAATATTTTTGTACATCATGTGTTGTTTTTTCCGTGGTAATGCCCAGGAGCTCAGGTTAGTTTCAGGGCCTCAGATCTGGTAGGGTTAACAAACTGCAGAAGTTTAAAAAAAAAAAAAATTAATTCAAAATTAGTACTTCCATATTTATGTTGAAAAAAACCATTTAAAATGATGTCTTTCATATTAAAAATACAGTTATTTCCTATAAATGTAATTTTAAAAAATACTGTTTAGAATAAGTTTTTAAGTACTTAATGATAGGAAAAAAAAAACAATGCTATTCATTACTCGCATGAATATAATTATACAGAAGGCAAAAACAGACATTTAAGAAATCAATGAACTTCTTTTTACAGATAATAAATGTGTAATACACCACCAAGAACATAATTTACAACACCATATTGATTCCTTACATCAAACTTGCAGAAAGTATGATATGAGAATAAATATCATGAAAATTGAAGTAATGAGAATAGGCAGGAAACATTATAACATGAATCAAACAAGTATGGTAATTAAAATACCTAGGAAGCATGTTTACGGAGAATGGCAGACTTGACAGAGAGATAGAAGTCAGAGTACAGAAGGCTAATGCTGTCATCTACCAGTTAGCTCCAGTGCTTAGACACCCTAATGAATCCCTTCCGGCAAAACAACAAATGGTTAATAGCATCTTCATCTCTACTTTATGCTATCAGTGCCAAACATGGACAATAAATAGGGCACTAGAGCAGAAAATAACTACATGTGATGTCTCCATAAGTCACTAACAACAAAAGAAGGGACAGCGTTACAAATACCAGCACTAGAAAGTTAAAATAAGATCATCTCTTGATTATATTGACAGACAAAGAATGAAATAGTGAGAATGCAGCCAGACCAAACCGCATATGAGACATTTTACAGTGGAACATCTGGGAGGAAGGTGATGGGAAGACCAATAAAGATAAATGATGTAACTGAAACCTGCAAAAAAAGTGAGGAAAAATCCATCTCCCCAGAGAAGTGTAAGACAAATACAGAAAAGTATGACACTGGGCTACAACCTAATATCAGCAAGATGACGACAACGACAACAACAACAAGAACAACAAGAACAACAACAACAAAAACAAATAAACAAACAAAAAGAAGAAGAATTATAAGAAAACTGCATAAAATCAGTTGTAATATATCTCTTTGACACATTTTAAATGTCTATTTACAATTATTCATGGAAAAAAATTAAACAAAATTTGTTCTAACATAAAATTAAGAAAAAGAAAGTGATGAAAAAGTTAGCTCTTTTATATTTAATGAAAAATACTTTATACCTGTGATTTCCAATTAACTAAAATCTGTAGACCTTTCTCTTGTCCCTCACACCCACCCACTCCACCCAAAGTCTACTATGGACCCCAATTCTTATTAACTCTCTCAGCACCAAACCACTCAATAAAAGTTACTGTCATTCCAATGATTATATAATGTTCTTGTTGTGTCTCTCACAGAAGTTGTTAAGTTAACCCTTTATATGTGAATGATCAGTTTAACTACTTCTCATGGTGTCTCTGTCGAGCTTTTCTAAACCAAAGTATTCATTGCTTTAAAGCTAAACTTCTTGGAGTAGGAAACCATCATGATGTGGTTAGATGCTCACCTGAGGATAAGAAAGTCATGGGTTGAGTTCCTGACAGAGCCAAACTTTTTTTCCAAAAAAGTCTTCGTTTTCAGGTCAACCCTGTCTAAATGGATACCATGTAGTCATAGGAAGTCAAGTCGGCCGGCATGATGTAGACCATATCACCCACTGAGTGCCGAAGTCTTTAAAATTTAGGTCAAGTTTTTTTTTTTTTTTTTAAACTTATTTGGAGTAGAAGAAATTTAAGTGATATTTGTTTGAGACTGAAACAGTTAAAAGTCATACTGAAGAAATATAATATTTTAACAATTTTAGAACTCAAAATGCATTGAATTCTAAAGCTGAGGTTTTCATTTTGTAAATATCACAGATCCTCTTACATAATTACTGTGGACACCCAGGGGTCTGCAGAACTCCAAGTGGAGGAGGGGGTGGGGGACTGTATTTTACAAAATATTAGTTCATAAAGATTTCACGAACATGAGATGTAAACATTACCTGGGTCTACTGTGTCAGGGTTTGTGATATGTAAACATTACCTGGGTCTACTGTGTCAGGGTTTATGATATGTAAACATTACCTGGGTCTACTGTGTCAGGGTTTATGATATGTAAACAATAGCTGGGTCTAATGTGTCACGGTTTATGATGTGTAAACAGTACCTGGGTCTACTGTGTCAGGGTTTATGATGACCAGAGTATTCATGCAGACAGCTTCACAATCAGCCTGTGACTCAAAGACATTCCCATTATCTTCACATCCACCCCACCAGTGGCGAACACACTCTTGCTTTTTGCTATCGAATCTCCATTTCACTGCATATTCTGTGCAGAGATTTCTTGACTCTGGGGCTGTACATGTGTCTAAAATATAAAGTCAACAGTCAATATCATATACAACTGTCTGTGCGTAATGAACATATGTAACTGTTGGGTGTATAAAATGCTGTCACTGTCTCAGTTAATTGAAAGACTGATTTATTTTTAAGAATCAATGTCATAGCACTCAAAGTTGCCCGATGTCTTTAAAAATGATTTCAGGTATAGTAGATACTAGGTACAGTGACTGTTTTAATGTTTTAGCCTCCTATATCCTCCAAGTTAGTTAGTCTTTCCTCTTAAGCCTAAGGCAGTGCACAGCACAGAGATCATAGCTCTTTATGTCTGGCAGTGTGTGAGTGTGTGTGTGTGTGTGTGTGTGTGTGTGCGTGCTTGCATGCGTGCGCGCATGTGTGTGTGTGTGCACGCGAGCATTCAAAACAACTCTAGCTGGGAAGACCTGCATCACGTATGGCTGTCACCATGTTAGTGCAGACACGTTGCTTTTCTATATTCCACTGATTCATCATGTCCAGCAGAGCCTCAGCTAGTCAATTTAAAGTGTGTTGCCCTTCAAACTTTTGCCAATGAAGGACACCAGCTTGGCGTGTAAACTCTTCATCAATCCAAAGCGCTGTTAAGCTCAAGAAAGATGTCGTCTGTGCAGTCCAAATATCTGTAGTTAGACACACATTTTGCTTTGCTGAGGGTAGTCTGGACACAACCCTTGACTGTATCAGACATCTCAGGTGTGATATTTTTTACATAAGAATTTGTGGCTTCGTAACCAATTTCTTGGTTCAAGTGCATCAAACATGGAGAATAATCAATGCAATTACTAATAAATTACATTCATTAACTGGTGCCTGTGCAGAATAGAAGGAATAAAAAGGTATGATAGAATAACAAATGTAGAACTTTGGGAGAGAACTAAACAGGCTCCAGTGGACCAAGAGGTGAGGAAAAGACGCTGGCGTTGGATAGGACACACTGAGAAAACAGGAGAACAGTATAACTAGAATGTCTTTACATTGGAACCCACAGGGGCATAGGAATAAAGGAAGGCCAAAAAATACATGGAGAAGAGAGCTGGAGAATGAGGTTAAAAAGATTGGGAGGACATGGGGAGAGCTCCATGCAATGGCGAAGGATAGAACGACTTGGCGTGAGTTGGTTGAGGGCCTATGCTCCATTGGGGGATAGAAAGGCAGAAGAAGAAGAAGAAGTGCATCAATCAGATCTTTGAAGCCACTGTTATCAACAACTGAATTGGCTGGATGTCAGTGGCAATCTTTTTTCTGATAAATGGTGTACTTTTTGCACCTTCTTCTTCTTGTTAATAATGTTGCTTAGCGTTTGTTGAGTCTCTCCTGTCTGCTGAATGCCAGATGTCAAACTTCCTGAAACTGATGCTGCTGCTTTCTGCTCTATGATCTTATTGTACTCATTCGGGTGTTAATACGACAAGTAGTTACTGAGTGGTGTTGTTGTGAATGACTTTGTTGAACTACCTCCACAAGAAATGACTGTGTTGCATAACTGACACTGGGCTTTTGTTTCATCGTCGCAGATCTTGAAGATTTCCAAATTAGACTTTGTTTATTCATCGCTGAATAATGTATATTGTTATATAATAAAGCTTTTATTGACATTTAATTTAAATTAGTTATAAAAAGTAGTTAACCTTCATCAACTAACACTTCACGAGCTCAAGCTTCAAATGCTGAAAGTCAGCCCGAGACTACACTGATGCTGTAATGCCTCGGCTGACTTACCAGGCAACGATCTCACCAGCTGCTGTACCACGCCACCGAGTGGCAGTATCTCCCCCCTGCGGTAAATGCAGGCAACAGCAGCTATTGTGTTAATGAGAGCATGAAATGAGAACAGTATGAATAATAAACAAAACATATTACCTTGTTTTGGACTCTCTGGTTGAGTTACAGCTATTTTCTTCTTGCATACTTCATCACAGTCCTCTTTTGATTCAAAGACGTTACCATTGTCCTTACACCCACCCCACCAGTGTCGAACACATTCTTGTTTTTGGTTGTCAAATCTCCACTTCACTGTGTATTCTTTACACACTTCTCTGGATTCTGGAGCAGCACACTTCTTTTCTATAAAGAATCAACAAATTCAAGCAAGACAACATTCTTTATCAAAGTCAGAGAACAATTTAAACATTATAACATTGGCTGGATGTCTAACTGCATAGTCATACAATTTAAAAGACAAATGAGGTATATAAAAGCAGCAAGCAGAAGACATTTAAAAAATACTTTAATGGAGACAAAATATTTCAGTTTTCTTTCTCTTGATATTGAAGAATAATTATAATATAATGTTATGCTTGTTTATTTTTGAGAAAAAGAACTGTCTAAACATGTACCTTACCAATGATTGAGACATTATTAATAACAACGATAATGATGATTATGAGATTATGATAGTGGTAAAAATGATGACAGTGGTGATGATAATGTTAATAAAAGTTGACTAATTAGGAATGTTTCTTTCAAAGTCCGAGTGTAACTGAGAGGCAAAGACCCAACAGACTTAACTACAAATAAGCCAGATTTATAAAATGGATGTGCAAGCAAAACTCAAGTTCTGGAACAAGACTAAAATCCCAGAAGTGGACAAACAACCAGAACTTTCCCCAGAGTTACAGTAAGTGAACAAGAAAAAGAAGAAGAAAATATTGCTATTAAAAAAAAAAAAAATCCCTGTCATTACAGCCGGTATTTTTGTACTTTTGTACTTTTGAGGTGTAGGTGGATAAGGGGAAAAGGGGGGGGGGGGTCTCTTAGTCTTGGGATTAAGGGCTGTATGGCTATTCTTGTTGCTACAGACTGTTCAGGTTGGGATTTTAATTTTTCCCTTGACAGGAAAAACCCCCAACCTTACTGAGGATTTGAACCCAGGTCACCCACATGAGAGCTCTATGTTTTTACTGTTCAGCCAGCTGCTTCTCTGCAATAATACTAACAAGTTATCAGTGTTTGTAAAAAAAAAAAATAGTGATAATCACAATCTCTTTGTTTGAATTCGAAACCGCCACAGATAATGTAAGCTGACAAAAACATGTGAAATGGTTAAAGCAGGTGAGCAAGAGGTAGGCATCACTGCAAGTGATATGATATAAATTCAAGTGATAGGATAACAAGACATGAGTAAACAGACAGAGTGTATCACCAGGGTGAGAGACAGACTGTGGGAGATCTACTGCAACAAAACTATAGAAAGATTCTCAGAATATCTTGGACAAAGAAGAGGAGAAATACTGACATCTAGAAAGATTTGAACATCAAGGAAGATTGGCCAATAAACAACATCCTGTCTCTGAAGCTGAAATATTTTGATCATATGAAGCGCCACGACGGATTAAAAAAAATTATAGCAGAAGGTGTGGTACCAGGAAGAAGGGGCAGGGGCCGACCAACACAAAGATGGGCACAGGATATAAGTGACTCCTTGAGTATGAAAGTACATGGGGGGGGGGGGGGGGCGGGGGGGCTGAGCTGGCGAGTGACTTGAGTTTTCTTTTAGGCAGACCATGATGAGAGCGACGTTCTGCAAAGGACCTGCTACAAGATGATGATGAGGTGATACTTAAACGAGTCAAAAGAATTCTGGGGAAGCACATTAAAACAAATGTTATCTTAATTCAGATGCCATGACAGTAAAATTGAAACCTTGGGGTGGTTTAGACAGGATGGTTGCCAACAGCTAAATCTGTAACAAACATTTTCGTTCAATTTAAATTTTTTTTAATAGTGGAAAGAAAAAGTTCAACATACCTGTTGCATCTGTAGTCTTTGTGTCACCAGTACCAATAAGACCCTTATCTGAATCTGGTGTATCATCACAGCCTTTAAAAGTGAGGGACCCAAAGCTGTTGTAATTCCATCGCGACAACATCCAAACTTTGTCTGCTCACAAGGGACATCACCAGAACCTATTTCACAGCCATCTTGGTTTGGTCCATCTGCTAATGTTAGTCCATCAGCGCAGCACCCATAAATAGAGTCCTGAACAAAAGACATAAGTGTATAAACTTTCAATGGTTTCAGATAAGTATCTACAGAAGATTGGTTAAACTTTTAATGGTTTCAGATAAGTCTCTACAGAAGATTAGTTAAACTTTCAATGGTTTCAGATAAGTCTCTACAGAAGATTCGTTAAACTTTCAATGGTTTCAGATAAGTCTCTACAGAAGATTGGTTAAACTTTCAATGTTTTCAGATAAGTCTCTACAGAAGATTGGTTAAACTTTCAATGGTTTCAAATAAGTCTATACAGAAGATTGGTTAAACTTTCAATGGTTTCAGATAAGTCTCTAAGGAAGATTGGTTAGTCTATAAGGAAGATTGGTTAAACTTTCAATGGTTTGTACAGAAGATTGGTTAAACTGGTTTCAGATAAGTCTAGTTAAACTTTCAATGGTTTCAGATAAGTCTGTACAGAAGATTGGTTAAACTTTCAATGGTTTTGGATAGTCGCTACAGAAGATTGGTTAAACTTTCAATGGTTTTGGATAAGTTTCTACAGAAGATTGGTTAAACTTTCAATGTTTTCAGAGAGAGATCTCTACAAAAGAATGGTTACACTTTTAACAGTAACAGAGAAGTCTATATAGCAGAATTGATGAACTTTCAATGTTGTAATGTTGAATTAGAAATCTACATCACAGCACTTGGGACACTCCCATAAGCACTCCATCCCCATCTTCAGCATCAAGCAAAGAGTTCCAACTATAATGGTATGAGTAACTGTCTGACTGTACATCCGTCTCGCCTTTCCTTTGACTGTCGAGCCTTGGACAGATCCTTTGGTAACCCGGCAGCGCTAATCTCCTCACACAGTGTCTTTTGCTTTTTATTTTAAGAGAAATCTGTATAGACAAGTGGTTAAACTTTTAACAGTTTCAGAGAAATCTCTATGTCATAGGCTAACAGGTCATGTGTTTGTTTGTGTATAGTGTAACGTAACAAATGCAGTAACACAGTACAGAGAGGAGTTACCGAAACTTAAGTGTGAAGGATCATCAAAATAAATAGTCAGGGATGCATGACACATGAACAGGACTCAGAACTGGAAGGAGGACAATGATTGTAAAGGAGCCTCAGGAACATTTAGTCTATGTTCGAGAAGGCTGACCAAATTAATAGCTGTATTGTGATACGTGCGCTATAGCATGTTTGTCATGGATGCTCTCACTGATAAGCAACATAACTGTCTCTGATTAATATAGAGATATAGAGAGGTCTATGACACTCTATAGCAAAATTAAACTATCAATGGTTTTAGAGTGATCTCTATCACAGAGTATTTAAACTTTCAATGGTTTCAGCAAGGACTCAATCACAAAGTGGTCAAACTGTGAATGTTTTTGGAGAGATCTCTATAGCAGAGTGTTTAAAACATTCAATGGTTTCAGAAAGGTCTCTATATTAAACTTCCAATGGTTTCAGAGAGGTCTCTTTATTAAACTTCCAATGGTTTCAGAGAGGTCTCAATAGCAGAGTGTTGAAACTTTGCTTCATGCTCTGAAGCTGTGGGGTGTATTTTGAACTCTGTTCATCGACTCATAAGTACAGGTCTTTTAGAGATCCTTGGGGGGGGGGGGGGGGGGGGGGGGGGGGGGGGGGCTGTTGGTGGAGCTACAGAGTTCTTACATTAATCAACATTGTAAGATAACAAACCTTTCTACTGAGAGAGACTGAGAGGTATGGATTAAAACCTAGTGCAGTGATGTTGATCCTCTTGCTTTAACCCACTTCAAATGGTTGTGACATCAGTACTCTTCTTCTTCACTTCCTCTTTTAGCACTTTTCAGTGTCAAGGAAGATATAAGGTTCTGCTTTTTGCTCTTTTGGCCTCTTCAGCCTTAGACACAAAGGAAGAACAGCAACCCTGATGTTATCTTTCCATCTTGTGTCTTTATTGGTCTACTTTTTGCTTTATGTCCTTCTCCTCTCTTATGCCTTGCATTGTATAGTGTCACAAGGCATTCTCTCCAAGTGGGCTAACCATTGATTTGCTGCACTTGCAGGCAATTTAGAACTGGTTCTGTGTTGACGTTTTCATTCCTGATTTTATCTTTTCTGCTCACTCACAGTAGCCGTTTCTCAGACAATTTTTTTCCATGGTTACTAATTGTCTGTTCTGGTTTGTTGTGAGTACCATGTCAGGCACTGGCAGCATCGGGTGGCAATGAATATGCTTGGGTATTTGTGTTTTCTATGTGCTGTTCAGATATGTAAATGCTGTTTTTTTAAAAAAGGTGGGGTTGGGGGATGGGCCGTAACTGTCCCAATACTTGGTAAATTTGCTGCATATTATGTTAATTTCTTTGTTTAGTTTCTCCATCTGTGGTGAATGTTGTTCCCATATATTAAACACAGATGCCGGCTTGATGCCCTAGCACACAACTGCTGTTTGTAGGTTTTGCTTCTTTCTTTCTATTGACTTCTGTCTCTATTCATAAATGTTAGATTTCATTGCAATTTATAGTTGTAACTGCAATCAAGGCCTGGTCATCAGCAAAGCGTAATTCATTGATGTTACTAATATTTGACTGGGCTTGACATCAAAATTTATGCGAGATAATGCTTCATAAACTATTAGTATCATATCATTATGCATTTTTGTCTTCAAAAGCAGTGCTGACTGCTATTGATGATCATGCACTTCCATACTTTGTGATCTTCAGCAGGCAGCAAGTTAATGTGCTTTTTTACCTTACCATGCGAGGACAAAAGCCAAGTTAGTATTCAACTGTTCTTCTGCCTCTTATTTCAGAGTGGAATAAAAGACGACTGTCATCCCATGTAAAGACATTATATCCTTTGCCTTTCTATGGTAATTATCCCATGTCTTTTGTATATTAATCCTGTCATAATCAAATCCAATAGCTGGTGGAACAGTGTGTATATATGTGTGTGTGTGTGTCTGTGTGTGTATGTATGTGTGTCTATGTTTGTTTCTGTTGGTGTGTCTGTGTGTGCATGTGTGTATCTGTCTGTATATATTTGTGTGTGTGGAATGTGTGTGAAATGTGTGTGTGTGTGTGTGTGCGTGCATGCGTGCGTGCGTGCGTGTGTGTGTGTGTGGGTGGGTGGGGGGTGCGTGCATGCGTGCGCATGCGCTAGAGTGCGCATGTATTTTACCACCCATGCTTTTGTGTTTTTTCCCCTTGATATTTCTAATATGCATATTATAGTATGAATATAACATGCTTATTGATAAAATACAACTGCAGTGTGAAAGACGAGTGTTTGGAAGGGCCGAATGTAAGACTAGCCTGTGTGCCCAATTTGTGACCCTATGAAAATAAAGTTTGTTCGTTCATTTGTTTGTTTGTTTGTTCATTCCTTCGTTAAGAATGCAGGGCTGTTATGTGGGAGACCCAGGTTTAAATCCTCTGTAAGGTTGTAAAAAAAGTTTTGTTGGGAGCAAAAACGAAATCCTAAACTGCACAGCCCATGGCGACAGCACTAGCCATGTGGCTTTAAATCGTCAAATACCACCCTGTCTACACCACAACAATACAGGCAGTAACGACAGGTTTGGCAGTTACAGTCAAATCTCTCAGAACATTTTCATCGTACATCTGTTGTACATCATTAGTCTCTGCTGTAAATACAGGGGACACAATTGACACAGTCATTATAGAATCACTTGGTGAGTATTTATGATACAGACCTCACAGTTTTCTTTGCATCCTTTGTGGTTAGGTCCTTGTGCTGCTTCCTCTTGTCCTGGACAACAGCCATATTCTGAATGAGCACATCCTGTTTTGGGTTTCATAGGTTTGATGGCAGGGCCTAGAAAAAATTGGATAAATTGATAAATTGAGTTATAATCTTTTTTTTTGTGTGAGTGCAGATGTGTGGATGTTGAAAAAAAAAAAGGGGGGGGGGGGGTCTTCCCATATATGCAAAGGTTCAGCAGTTAACAGAAATGAAGAATGCTTAAATTAAAAAGATACTTACAATACAAAGGTTAAATAGTATAAAGAGCCTAGGGCACATTATCATCAAACAACTTATTGTAAAGAGCCTGAGAATTTGCATCCTTCCTGCAGTGACATGAAGATGTGAGATATCCATTATTATATTTCAAAGAATATTAGAGCTTTTTGACTTTAATGTTAAAAGTAGAATCTGAGAAAATCATGGACCAAGAAGTGGATAAACATGCTCATATTCTTCATGATCTTAATACTGAGGAGAGAAACTAGCTCATAGACAGTAATATTTAGCATAGGGAGTATTATTTCAACCATTTTAAACAAGAGATTGCATTATACAGTTAATGGCAACGGGTTCCAAACTATTGTAGAATAGGAGACAAGGTTGAAGATACAGCTCTGATCAAATAACCCTGTAGCATCACCTGTGGTAAAGCAAAGATCCAGTTGCTGACCTTCACTTAAATTGACAGCGGTAGGTTGTACTTTAGAAATGGAGAATATTCTGAGCAATATTTCTTTGTCAATTGAGATAAGAAAAAGAATTCTCAAGAGCTATATAAATCCTATCCTAAAATATGGAATCAACATCATGGCACATGGGTGTAACCCTTAAGTGTTCCATTATACTTCTAGCTCAAGCCTGAGTCAGAAGTGTCTCAGAGCATTGCACGAACTCTGTTGCACCGGTGAGGATCCTGAAATACTTTGGGTAGATTTTAAACTCCAAATTTTTCCTGGGTAGTGCCGTTAGACTACTCTTTTCGATTTCCATCTGCCAGGAGATTTTTTTAATGTGTGCACCAATACACACAAGCATTAATCTTACTACCCAGGGACCAGGGGAAATCCCAGCCTTTATCGGGGCTTGAACCCGGGTCAACAAAGTCAACAATGTCCAAACAAGTCTTAGGAAGAAACAAGACAAAATCCAACCCAGATGTAGTAGAATTAGGTGAATAAGATTCGGGAACACAGAGTTAGCTGTATGCAGTGGCAAAAGACAGGCCCAGATTACTGTCGGCCTATGTTACAATTTCGGATAAAGGGCAGTAGAAAAAAGAATAAAGTGGAGAAGGAGGAGGAGGAGGAGGATGCAGAGGAAAAAGATGAGAAGAAAAAGATGATGAACAAGAGGAAAGAGAGGAAGAAATGAATGAAAGAAAGAAAGAAAGAAAGAAAGAAAGAAAGAAAGAAAGAAAGAAAGAAAGAAAGAAAGAAAGAAAGAAAGAAAGAAAGAAAGAAAGAAAGAAAGAAAGAAAGAAAGAAAGAAAGAAAGAAAGAAAGAAAGAAAGAAAGAAAGAAAGAAAGAAAGAAAAGCCTCTTTTAGTGCAAATATTATGTTTTGATAATTCACGAATAAAACCACAGAACAGAAACAACCCACCCTGCTGCTCTGCTTGCATACACTCAGCTTGGCATGCCTCCAGGGAAGTAAACCTGTTTTTGTTGCCTCCACAGCCTCCATACCAGAACTGACGGCAAGAAGCAGAGCCTACTTCAAAATGCCAGTGTAAGGTGTAATTGTTACAAGTCCCTGCATCTTTTGGTTGCCCACATGAAGCTGAAAGTAAAGACCGGTCCACATGTGTACAAAAGCATAAGCAACACATTGTGAAGTAGGACATTCTTTGTACACCCATCTTTGATGTTTGTTATCTTGCCAGTTTATTCTCTTATAGATGTGCTTGCATTACCATCATCAGGTGACTTGAGACTAGAGTGGGTAATTAAGCTTTTTCACAGTCTGCAATCTTCAGTAGCTTCAGTTCATGTCCTGATACCCTTTCAGTGCCATGACAGAAGTTATTCAAATGGAACAGCGAGGAACAATTGATTTAATTCCCCTGTGTGGGTTCTGGGGCCCCATTGTGGGTTCCAGGGCCCAATTGTGGATTCCGGGGCCCCATTGTGGGGAAAACAAGAATAGACTCCCCTGCCTCCCGAAAAGCATGTCGTAAGAGTCGACTAATTGGGGAGCTTCCTTTGAAGTCGGAGTGCATCTGCCGGAGAGGCAAGGAACCAGCAGTCTGTATTCAAGAGAATGAGATCTGTAAAACTGATGCACACGCAACACTCAGGTTCTGGAGCAGGACTGCAGTTCAGTAGTGGACGAGCACCCAGAACTTTCCGCCAGAGTGTACAGCTGGTGAACGCGAAGAAGAAGAAGAAGAATTTATTTAATTTTCACTGGCACAGGAACGAAGCAAGTATGGGGTGACCCGACTGCAGTGAGATTGAAACCTCAACTAAGACTGAAACTAAAAGGCTGTCTAGAATCTTCTGATGTTGTCTTCCTCTCTCTCTTTCTTTTCTCATTCTCTCTCTGTCTCTCTCTTCCTCCATCAATCGTTCTCTCTATTTCTCTGTGTTTCTCTCTCCACCAATCTTTTCTTTCTCTCTCCACAGATCTTTCCAGTGGTCACATCATGTTTTGGTTTCCTCCTCCTCGTAATACGGACAAAAAAAATAAAAGCTGCCTTTTTCTGATGTTAGAGACCTAGCCACTTTAGCAACCCACCATCACTAGCCTGTGTGTGCGCCTAGTATTAGGACAGACTCCTACTCCAGGCGTCATGACTTATAGCAAGTTTGTCCACTTAGGCTTTTTCATGTAGCGGCAACATCCTGGGTCCTTTTTTGCACATCACAGAGTGGTCCCTTAACTCTTTAAGTCCCAAGGAATGCATCATACGTTCATAAGTTCCTACTTATAGGCCAAATGAACGCAAGATGCACCGATTTTATGTCTCTCTTGACTACCCCTTGTGCCTCTGATGCTAAACCCCCTGGGACACAGAGAGTTAATCAGTTGAGAGTTCTCCTGCTTTTTGCATTCACAGTGTCTTTATTTAAATATTCTCCAGTGGTTCAGGCTCACTGCGGTATACCAGGAAATGAGTTAGCGGACAGACTTGTAAAAAATGGAACAAAAGAGAAACAACACAACCGTTCACTGTCATTACCAGAAATCAAAACACTTATCATGGGAAAATTCCAGGAATTTTGGAGAGAACAAACCGACAGTAAACATCCCCAAGATCCCACCAGCAGACAGCAAAGTACAACAATTTTCTGTCTATGAACAGAACACTGTACACTCAACTATTGCATGCATAAAGTAAAGACTGTGCAGTCCCCACAGTGTGCCTGTCAAACAGGACCACAAACACCTGAGCACATTCTGCAGACCTGCCCACTCAACCTACAACTTCAAAAAGACACCTGGCCTAAAAAAGCAAAGTTTGCAGAGAGAGCTATGGGGAATCATGCAAGACCTGCAGCTGAAATGCGAGTTCCTAGAGGCAAAACCACCTTATGGTCTGACCTGAGCATACGAAACTAATCACAAAGAAGAAGAAGAAGATGTCTTTATTACTCAGTTTCACTACCTTCCTGCTGGTCAAAAATACCTCAGTTTTAAGTGACCATGCTTTCAATTATTCTTTTATCTAAGACAGTATGATGTTTAAAGTGGCCAAATTAGTTTATTTTTTCCACTAAGATGAACCCGAGATAGTAAAGCTTTCTTGGATGATCATATCATTCAGATTAGCATTTTTCTTTTTCAGGACCCTATCTTACTGAGCACCTGCATAGTTTTAAAGGTTCAAAGAAACCCTTTAACTCTCCGTTATTCTCCTGCATTTGAAATATTTCCATAAATCTCCGTCTCTCTCTCTCTCTCTCTCTCTCTCTCTCTCTCTCTCTCTCTCTCTCTCTCTCTCCTGTCAAACAATAGGTAATTAAGCACACCTGGGTTGGTAAGTGTATGATGGATTCTCTGAAATCAACTTGCAAAGACACAATTTAATTGTCACCACATGTAAAGTACATCAAACTAGCAAAATCATCAAAAAATAATTAGCAAGACTCAAAATATAAGGAATTGGCGTGGGTGGGGGGTAGGGGTGGGGGGGGGGGTGGTGGGCTGGGGGGGGGGGGTGGGAGCACCAAAGATAATAATATAGTTTACAATTAAACTGACATCATGTGTACAACTTCTGTAAATGTTTGAAGCCTATACCTGTACATCATATTTTAATTCCATCAAGTTATTCCTCATAATCAAATATATTAACTACTAATGTGGGCGTTGAGTCCATTCCACAGCTTTCTTCCTCGAGAAGCATCTTTTTTCATTCAGCAGCAGTTACTTTTCATATATTAGGAAAGGTAAAACGGGCGTATAATCAGAAAGCTACTGGCAACACTGGTATTGGTACTCTGTGCTAGCTGCTGAATATGGGGACAGAGCGCTTATGGGAATGCCTTGAGTGCTGTGATATTGGTTCTTGAATCAACTCAACTCAACTTATTCTTATAATGACAGATTGTTATCTGCACAAGTATGCTCTCTCTCTCTCTATCTCTCTCTTTCAGTGCACACACACAGGCATGTACACACACACCTACCTACCTACCTACCTACCTACCTACATACATACATACATACATACAGACAGACAGACAGACAGACAGACAGACAGACAGACAGACAGACAGACAGACAGACAGACAGACAGACAGACAGACAGACAGACAGACAGACAGACCAGACAGACAGACAGACACAGACAGACAGACCCGACAGACAGACAGACAGACAGACAGACAGACAGACAGACAGACAGACAGACAGACAGACAGACAGACAGACAGACAGACAGACAGACAGACAGACAGACAGACAGACAGACAGACAAACATACATACATACATACATACATACATAATGTGTCATATCCACAATGAAGACTGGCTGAAATGGATCTCCTGCATGCTCTGTTTCTAATTTTATTTGTTCATTCTCTGAGACTACTGTGTGTCCATCTAATGATTTCACTTCCTCTCCCTGTTGCATCTCTATGTTTGATTGTTTACATCTTGCTCACCGACCTTTGAATTTTTTCCTAGTAGGTTTATTTTGGTGTCAAATCTTTGAATTATATGAATAAAATATTTCACTTTTCCAGTACCTCTTTGCATTTTCAATTCCTGTATTATATATGTTATGTGTTGTGTTACTGCACCCACATTCACATACTGGCAGCAAGTAGGTACCAGAGATATTATCTATGTTTCAAAACGACCAATTCCTGATCAGCCAGGTTATCCAGCCCTAGGACTGGTATGAATTCTCTGAATATGTTACACTTTCGCTTATATATATCACCTACTCGACAGCTTCTTTGGCAGTTAATGTGACTATTTCTCCTTGTATTGCACACTTCGGGTGGTTTGCAGCCCTCAGTTCCTGACTGTCCTGACAAATTATTGCACTGTTCCGTTAATGTGCAGAACTGTCCAGTGTCACAGTGGATGCTTGAGGTCCAGTACAGGAGGTTAGTTATGAACTATCACGCAATCACCGCCATTGTATTTAGCACTTTGTGGTGCAAGCAGGGCAGCCTCAGAGCTTGATGGTTTATAGCCGCATAGCTAGTGCTGTTGCCACGGACTGTGCAGGTAAGTATTTTATCTTTGCCCCCGACAGAAAAAAAAGATCACCCCGGGTCTCCCCTCGCAATGACTATAGGAGAAAATTTGACTTTTGAAAGTAAATGCTAGAGAAGTTATTGTATAAAATCATAGATTGTTTGTTTGTTTTAGTATCCAGAAGCCATGAGTTGTTAACCCTTAAGCTCGGTTTTATGGATATCGCAACCTTTCTGCCTTGATTCCATTGTAAATACCGTAAATTTGGGAGAAATGTGGCTTTCCTGCCTACCCCCGGTTTGAACCCGGACCACAAGGAGTTCGTCACCCAGTCTCCGCGCAATCCGGTTTAGCCAACTACGCTAGAGAGCCGGACAAAATCATAGATTAAAAGAAGATAATAAGGTTCTTTCCCAATATTCTACCCAAGATGACATAAAATACCAAATTACTACATCTACCACCACTTGAAGTATTTGACTGTCCCGTGGAAAAAAAAACAGTAATAAAACCTGTTTATGCCTCTAGTGCCCTGGCAATGTGGGGCTATACATATTTTGTTTCATAGACCAAATGGCACTGGATGGGTGGTGTGTCAACATCACCCCCGTCACTTTTATAGTCCAGGACACGACGTAATCCCCAACAGGGGCTAGAGCGACCTGGAAGCCAAGGTCAATCGTGAAAAAAACATTCCACCTCTATTCTGATTGGAATCAACCTTTGTTTGTCGCTTCCGGTCTTAAGAAGTTCATGAATGATTCAGATAGTTGGTGACGGGGAGAAAAAATCAGATGTCAAGTATACAAATGTAGATGGACGATTTCAGCCACGTTGAGCATGAACAGATAAATGAGGCACAAAAGGAACAGGTCAGACGAAGAAAAATCTTTCTGAAAGCTGTGAAGAGGCCTTGTTTTGCAAATGACGCAAACGTAATGATGATCATTCTGTCTCAAGAATTGCCTTAGCAACACGTGGTTGCTGATTTGAGAATCGACATCACAGCTTTTGGGGCACCTGGGCTATCCTCCGAATATCAGTCCCAAATTATCAAGGCCGAAAATATACCCTAACAGGGTCTCAGTCACAGGTAAATTGCGGACCTCTTTACATGACTATACC